AAATTATATGAGATTATTTGCATCTTGTGTTTTCCTCACTTATTCAATGCCCTGATAAACTTTTTTAAATTTTTTGCATTTAAACGATATAATCTTCTTTTGCATAGGTTGAACAATATGATTTTTATTGCTTGCTCTTATGGTGGAAAATTTATAGAATGAATAATATGCCAATGTATGTGGGAGGGGTAACGACACCGTTAATGATCTTGGAATCATATAGTTAATGTGACTTGATTAAGGAATTGCACCGAGTTACAAAAATTGACCCACAAGAGTACCAACTAAAAATAATATGCAATTGGTCCATAACTTTTGATAGAACGTTCGCAGTTGAGATATCAAACGATTATCATATGAGTATTATGTTTAATTTGAGCAAGTCACAACCAACGGTAGAATTATTTATTAAAAAGTTTCCACATAGTTCGTGCCAAATATTCAAACCTCCTGGAGAATTCTCACGCATGTTATTAGATTTGGGAGTTGAGTCTGATGGTTTTCTTTCTTCTTCGAGTGAAATGGAGTGGACTCAATTTCAATATCTAAGTGCACTTTCATTTGGGGGAACATCAAATGTCTTGAACAATGAAGTCTTTATGAAAATATGAGGCCGTTAAGAGGGGCAACAATTTAAGAGGATGAAAGAAGCAACGACTCTAAAGGTGAATAGCAAGATATTACACCAATTAATAGAATGCAATTTGTGATTGAAGATGTTGACGAGAATCTGAATTGGCCTGATGAGGCTTATTTTAATAATAAATATGTTGAGTACGAAGAACCACCCCCTGACGAGTTTGAAGATGATGAGTGGATTCGTTCTTCCACAGTATAAGATATGTGCATTGACCAAAGTTCAACTTATAGAAGAGATGATGACTTCCCTTTTAAAGTTGGAGATTTATTCGAGACTGAGGACCAATTGGTTGATGCTATTTGTGATTGCTCAATCAAAAAAATATCAAATTCAAGCAAGTTAAAAGCAATTGCACAAGTTATGATGCAATTTGTTTTATGAATACACAAAGGAAAAGTCAGGCTGAGGGAAATGAAGCTGATTACGCATGTCCTTGGAAGTTATATGCATTTACCGGAAAGAAACATAATGGGCATTTTAGGATCACATAATACTGCGGTGTTCACACATGTAGCAATCCGATATTAGAGAAAGATCATAATGGTGCATCTACCTCTTACATAGCACGGTTGATTATGCCAAAATTAAAGAAGAAGCTTGAACTAACTCCTGTTAATGTAATTGAGAGAGTGCTAGATACAAAGTTCATTGAAATATCATATAGTAAACCATGGAATGTAAGGAGAATTGCGATGACAAAAATATTTGGTAATTGGAAGAAGTCTTACGCGACACTTCTTCTATGTGTTGATGCGATAAAAAAAAGCAATCCTGGATTTGAATACAAACTCATAACCAAAGAGATCAATCTGGTAGTTCATCAATTCGCCTCTGTATTTTAGGCATTTGGTCCTTTGATCGAGGGATTTAAATTTTATCAGCCAGGTCTTAGCATTGATGACACACTTATATGGTAAATATAAGGGTGTATTGCTTTTTACTAAAGGAGTAGATGCATATGGTGGCTTATTTCCTTCGGCCTTCGTGGTTGTGGAGGTCGAGAACAGTAAAAATTAGGAGTAGTTTTTTCCAGCATTTAATTATATATTTTTAAACCTCCTATGAAAATTATTTTTATATTCGATAGGATGAAAGGTATTCCTAAAGTATTGTACAGGAGATTTGGCTCTAATCACCATCACCGCTATTGCTTAAGACACATTAGAGCTAATTTTAAAAAGAGCTTTGGTCAGATACATTTACAAAATCTTCTTTGGCAAGCGGGCTGTACACTCAAAATATATGTGTATGATTGGATACGGGATCAAATCAAGGCAACATCTCAAGATGCACATGACTGGATTAAGAGTAGTTTGGGAAGTAAATATGTCGATCAGTGGGCACTAAGTAAAGATGGAGGGAATCGGTTTTGCATGATGACAACTAATTGGTCTGAAAGCTTCAACAGTGTACTTAAGGGAGCTCAAGCAATGCCCATACATGCGTTGGTTGCGAGGACATTTTATAGACTTAATCACTATTTTGTCAAGTGGCGAGAGAATAGAGCAAAGTGGGTGACGTTATTGACACAAAAAAATAAAGAGATTGTAGGGTCTCGTGTCGTGCAGGCGAGATCAACAAAGATTGTTAGATTTTCTATAGATGAATGACAGGTTACAGGCGAGTTCAAGCTCCTAATAGAAGGGTGGTAAGATCAAGCTCGAATGGTTATGAAATAATTATATGAATGTACCGATCGATGCAACTGATGAGATTGTCAAGAGCTATGCCCATGTGTATATACTCCATATGATCTGTACCGTTCTATTTCTGGATTCTACTAAGGATTCAGTGCATGCTAGATGATTGCCACTTCTTGAGGATCTTGAGGAGTGTAGAGAGTTATCAAGGGGGAGTGCAGTGTTAGCTTATCTCTATAGGGAGATGACAAAAGTAGCATTCGTGCAAAATAAAGAATTCAAAGGTTATCTCACTTTGTTGTAAATATGGTCAAGGGAGTGATGGAATTTGGGAACACCAAATTTGAGGGAGACCCGTGCTCTCGATAGCTAGATTTCGTTAGGATGCAGGTATATTAGTTTGTAATAGATATGATTACATATAATTTTATACATTTATTTCAATCTATACTAAATCTTTGTATATCAAATAGATGGAATGTTTCCAAGTATTAGCAAACCTCCCCAAAGGGTCATGAAAATTTTTACAGGAACAAGCTTGATCAAATGGAGGATGAACAGACATAAAATCATAATATCTAACTATATTCAATCAATACATCATTTGTTACTGATATGTAAATTTACATAATCTTCTTTATAGGTCAAGTGGATGCCCTGTGAACTAATTTTAGCTTCACTACCAGATATTTGCAAAGATGGTGAAGATATATGTCGTGCTAGAGTACCGATAATATGTTTTGAGATTGTTGGAATGCACGTGCCCGACCGTGTGCTTCGACAATTTGGATTAAAACAACATATTTCAGATCCTATAGAAAGAATAGAGCGAAATCCCCGAAAAAGGAGCACATCATCAAAATTGTGAGATAATTCGTCATGCTTATATTGAGAACTGGGAGTTGAGGGAAGAAGCTGTAGTGGTGGAGAGGGCTGACGCACCAGAACTAGATGTGTACTTACGGTGGTATTGGGGGATTACTCGCCGATGGATATTTTGGGAGAACAAAGCACCTAATGAGTATATACCGAGAGGTCCAGTTGAAAGAGAGTTGGTAAGTGTATAGGCAAAATATACAATTATTTTGTGATTATTATTTTATTATCATCCACTTGCTAATAATCCTCTTTTTATCTTATAGGTACAAGAACTCGATGAGGCAGCTTCTATTGTACATGATGCATTAAGATTGACTACTAAACCAGGGGCGAGGAACACAATTGTTCGCATCATAGGAAAGATTCAGTCCGCTCTTAGAAATACACGTCATGTGAATCGTGATGGACGTGAGGAACGACTCATAAGGTACGAGCGTCGGTGGGTCTGAGGACACACGAGAGCGGGCTCAAGTTGTGCACATGATGAAGCTGGAGGCACAACAAGCTCAAGATGGAGGTTCACAGCAGGTTCAAGTCGACGAGGATGTCATGCGCTCACAAGTTCACACACAACCAAACGTTGAGATCATCCAAGCTCATGTTGAAGGTGAACGAGGAAGGGGGAGAGGAAAAAGAGGCAGAGCGAGAGGGAGAGGGAGAGCAAGAAAAAAGGGAGTTCTAAATATTTATTAAATTTCGATATACTTCATATGATGTTTATGTTTGAAATACTATGATGTTTATGTTTGAAATGCTATTGTCACTTGATTATAGTTGGATTATTAGTAAGTGAATTAAATGTTATGTGTTTGTTAAAGATTTGTTATAGATGTGATAATTATATAAAGATGTGTTTATTTGTGTTTAATTGATTATGGATTGATAAATGTGTAGTAAGAGAGTTGGTGTTAAACTTGACAATTTTAGTCGAGGATTGATATATGTTAGCAGGAGATGAGATTTTCCAGCAAGTGTGGACTGGAGGGTCTCTGCCAAATGGTTGGGGTTGGGAACTCCGACCATGTCATGCACGCTGTGCACGAAATGGTCGGGGTTCCTAACCCCGACCATTTGTGTGTGGGACGATTCGGGCTCTGCAAACGGTCGGGGTCAGGAACCCCGACAAAATTAGTCCGAATTGCGAACCTCGACTTGTTTAGTGGCCTAACCACCGATGGCAGGCAGGGGTCGTCCTAATTAGTCGGAGTTGGCAACCCCGACTAATTAGGAACCAATTTCTTTTAAATCGACTCAGTTTCTGGCCACGATGCTTACGTGGCCAGAAACTGGGCCGATTTTTTAAAATAACTTGGGAGTGGGTCGATTTTTAAAAAGAATATTTTGGGGCTATTCTGAAAATTTCTTCTTTTGGTTAAATACCAAAACCCCCCTTATCTTTGGATGGTTATCAGATAACATATCATAACTTTCAAAATATCAAAAAGTTCTCTCAAGTTTAGGGGTTATCAGAAAACTTATAAACTTTAAAAAATTTACTTAAAAGTTTTATCAGGAAACCCTCCTAATCAGTGTTAATCACAGTTTTTACATTGATAAGAAAAAATACGTAGGAGAATCTATTTGTCAACGAAAATTAGAGTTCTCATCTAGGGTTTTTGAAAAATTGAAGATCACACAATAATTTTTTAAGAAAAATATGAATTGATTTTTTAGTAAAAAAATATATTTTCTAAAAAAGAATTATTTATATTTTTCATTGAAAATAAATCATAATAGTCTATTACATATATAATAGGATTTTAAAGGAAATTCAGTAAATCAAACCTAGTAAATTTGTTAAAACAAAATTAAAGACTAATTTGGATTATTAGCTAAATTACCTTCTCAGAGATAGCATCTTGCACAATTAAAATATCACTGGTGATTGCATTGATCACCTCTCCAGTTGAAGCCTCAGTATCAAACACACTTATATCTTGATCAAGCAATGACCTTAAATATGCTAGCCTCATTTTTGCTGCTTGCCTCTCTCCAGTGTGCATCCAACATGCAACCTCTAATAAAATTATAATTAGTAATAAATTAATTAATTACCGTTGGAAAAAAAACAATAACTTTAACTCACCAGTCCACGACGAGAACAGCATAACAATGCTCAAATAAACGAAATCCAACGAGCACTGCAAAACAAAGAGATAGATAAATTAAAGATGAATTAGTTGTGGATAGACCCCGACCAATTGCGGATTGACTATCTATAGTTCTAAGAGCATCTCCAACAAGCTATAGTTGGGAGTCCTTGTTGGAGAGCTCTCAAGACCTCTCAAGATATGGTCCACCATTTTCAATGTCACATCACATGGGAGACCTTCTAACTAATGTTGATCTCCAACAAACTCCTAATTAGGAGCTCCAACAATATCAAAAAAACTCATCTTCTATTTTAGTTTTGTTACACATTACTTTCAATTATATTTAAATATCTTTTATTTAATTCCACCGACAACCGATAACAGACAGATTCATATATGTTGGGCACGGTCTTCGAGGGAGCATGCACTTTCATTGACAACTGACAGATTCCTATCCGTTGTGAACGAAGTTCGAGGTATCACGCACTTTGACCGTCAACCGACTGATTCCTATAAAATTCGACGCCTTCTCACCTCACCCCATCATCTTCCACAACAAAATGTCTAGCTCATCTAGCTCAAGCGATGATGAAATGATGAAGATGTTCTTTCTTTTCGGACCGCGTGTAAGCCTTCTTTTTCTTTGTGGTCGGTGTTTCTTGGGATGACACTTGTTGTGTTACCGATTGCGAGAACTCATGGATGAAGTGACCTTCTTCTACGATGTCTGTGTAGAACGGCGGGTACGTATAAGGCCGATCCTTCACCGGTAAGGAGTTGCGAATAAAAATTTTGGGAGGGATCCATAAGATTTGTAATTTGATAGGAAAATATAGAGTTTTTTTATGAGAGAGTTGTGTGGAATGATTGTAATTTGATAGGAAAATATAGAGTTTTTTTATGAGAGAGTTGTGTGGAATGATTTGTGTAGTGAATTGAGTATTTATAGAATTTTTTTACTGTTCATTTTATGAGAGAGTTGTGTGGAATGATTTGTGTAGTGAATTGAGTATTTATAGAATTTTTTTACTGTTCATGCCAGTTTTTTAAATCTCAACGGCTAATTTTTAAACGGCTAATTTACTATTCATGTCAATTTTAAAAAATCTCAACGGCTAATTTTTAAACGGCTATTTCCAAACTGGGATTAAAGGTAGGGGGTTTTTTGTATAAAAAAATTTAACAGCTGGGAGCTCCCAAGCGCTCCACAAATTTGTGGAGCGCTAGGGAGCTCCGTGGCACAAGCTTCTAGGCTCCGTGCCATGCCAGCCCAAGGAGAGGCCTTGAGAACTTGCTGGAGCATAGCACAAATCAAAGTGGGGTGAGAGCTTGTAGCAAATGCTCTAATTGTGTGGATAGACCTCCTAACTGTTTTTTTCTAACTCTTTAAAAAGTCAAAAAATTTTAAATAGAAATATGATGGGTCTAATAGTAAAATCAGCATACATTAAGATCTATAAGACGTTCTAAAGCTTGTGAGCATCACATGGAAACTTTCGGAGGAAAATTCTCACGCTCGCATAGCACAAATCAAAGTGCAAATTTTAGAAAATTTAGGGTATATAAGTGCTCCCAAACACAACTGAGGGTTTATAAGTGCAAACTTGGGGGAACTATTTGGAGTATGTAAGTACTAGTTAGCCTTAAAAATATGGGAAAATTGCTTGGGGGAACCAACTTAATTTGGCCCATTCATCCCCACCCCAAGCCCAAAAACCATAACCACAAAGCCCTTATACAGCAAAAGAAATACAACAAGCCCCCAAAATAAGTACAGATACACTACCCCAAAAATTATCCCCAAATTACCCTTCTCAATTAACTATACCATCCTTTCTGAGCGTTGTTATCGAAACCACCTGTAACATCAAAGAGACTATCTTCCCTGTTGAAACCCTCCTCCTCCCAAAACCACCGTCGACGACAACGCTTGGGAACCCTCTCCGCCGTCTTCGTGCTCGTCGTCTTCGTCAAAGACCGCCGCCGCTCATCCTATTCTTCGAAACCCTCATCCTCTGAAGACCGCCGCCGCTCTTCGTCGTCGTTTTCGTCTTCGGCAACTCACATTAGATCCGGTTTCGTCGTCTTTGTCTTCGTCGTCTTTGTCGAAGACCGCCGCCGCTCGTCATATTCTTCGAAACCACCGACGCCCCCTCGTCGTCTTCCTCTCAAGATCACCGATGCCCCTCGTCGTCGTCTTTCTCTTCGGCGACTCACCTGTGAACCGCCTTCGTCAACGCTCGACCACTGACGAGATCACCCCCCCTCCCCCCCGACTGCAAGCGAGTCGCTAGAGTACCTCTGCCAAACCGAACAGTGACGCTCGCTGGGATGTCGACATCATCATCTCACTCATCTGAATCAGCGAGGAGCAAGCCTGAGATGTAAGTATTAACCCAATCGTTCACATTTGACGATTTAATGTGTTTGGCACTGTGATTTTAGCCATATTAGAACTCTAAGTTGAAGTAGTATCTGTTGTGTTATGTTTTACAGTACGCATGATATCAGAATTTCTTGCAATATACGTGGATATTGTACATTCATGGATGGAATTGCTCCACGGATGAGGGCTGAACATTGGAGGGCGTATGGATCCTCCAATTTCAAAAATTATGTTAGTTTTGGACCAATTCCAGCGGACAAGGCTACGATTATGTTGCTTCTAGATCATTTGGATTTAGCCACGGGGAAGTTCTTTTTCAAGGATAGCCAAACTAGGACTCCACAAGCGTATACTTTTGATGTAAATTGGGTGCGTAAACATACCCGGTTTAATGATGAAGGAGATAAACCCGAAGGCAACCGCGACAAAGAGAATAGGATATGGAACACATACTTCTCCAACAAACAACAATCGCAATACAAGAGTGGCCGAGACTACCTTGAGGCCCTATTAGAAAGATTGGTTCAGTCAAGAAAGAGGACGGATGTTTCTAATTTTGTTATGCTTCAAATCCTCTATCAACTCACAATGATATGGACTCCGACCGCGAGAATGAATGCACCCCGGCATATGTTCAAATATATAGCTCGGATAGATATGGTTGATAATTTGCCATGGGCGACGATCATGTACAAGGAATTGTGGGACTCTTTCAAGACTGCGAAGATAGCGAAGAAGGGGCAGACATATCTCATCGGCTGCGCTCCCTTGCTATCGGTGAGTTATATGTGTTATTTGTAAGTAATATGTTGCATTTGCACCTTATCTGTGATCATTACGTTTTACATGTGATATATGACATTTATATGTGACATTTGTATCTAATTTGTATTGTTTAAGTTTCCTATTTATTTGTAGTTTGTATGTGATATTATCTTGTTATATGAGATTATTTCCAATTAAATGTGATATTATCTTGTTATATGTGATAAGTGTCTTCTACATGTGATATATTCTAATCATATGTGACGTTTGTTACCCATGTGTGACATTTGTCCCTGATTTGTAACAGTTGTAGTTAATGTGTGAATTTATCTTCTTGTAAGTGATTATTGCCATTTATTTATGACATTTGTATCTAATATGTTCATTGATTGAATGTGGCCTTTTTCTGAAGCTATGGTATTATGAGATTTCTAACATCAAAGAGCCGGCAAGAGTAGATGAATCCAAGCCTCCAATGATAAATTGGACATTGGAGGGTAAGAAGGTGGGTTCGGTGCGGACTACAATGATTTTGAAGAAATCGGAAGCCGCAATCCACATCTTACCGGAGCAAGATGTGGCGAGGTATGTTCACGAGGAGATAAAGCCCAGTCCTACAACAGTGAAGGCTAAAGTTGAGGAGGAAGTTAGGGGTAAAAAATCATTGGGGAAGAAAAGAGTCCAAAAAGAGGTAATGTTGATGATTTGGATGTGTCAACCTCTTATTTGTGACTTTTGCTCACTATCAGTTTATTGTTAATGTAGGACGAAGCTTATGAAAAATTGGTGATGTTGAATGAAGCCTATGAGCAAGCACTTGTTGCTCGCGGCGTTGATATTTTGGCTATTAAAGCCGAAACTGAGAAAAAATTTGCTGAGGAGAAACGTATAAGGCAAAACAAAGGAGAGGTAATAGCCTATGTCCTGTGTCACATGAGGGGGAAAAATTATTGAGAAAATATTTGCTGAATTGAAATTGGTTATTGTTTTTACATCTATGCAGCCACAAATAGATGAGGCATTGAGTGAAGGTGATCAAACCCGAGAGATGGACATTGAACTGGAGGAGGTAACTCTCCTTTGTGATATTTGTTGTTTTCCTGTGACATTTACAGCTTATTTGTGATAGTTCCCTTTGGTATGTGACAATTGTCTGCCTATTGTGACATTCATATGTCTCTTGTGACATTTTGTCTAATAATGGGACGTAAACAGTTTAGTGTAATGTTTGGTTATTACCTGTGATATATATTCATGTCTTATTTATGTGATATATATTCATTAACTGTGAGTGGTATACAGGCTAAAGTTGAGGCAGAGAAAGAAGAAGGAAAGGGAGAGGAGGGAGGCAAAGAAGGTGATCAAACCCAGGCCATGGGCAGTGAACAGGAGGTAACTTTCTTTTGTGATATTTGCTTATTGCATGTGACATTTACTGCTTATTTGTGATAGTTCCCTTTGGTATGTGACAATTGTCTACAAATTGTGCCATTCATATGTCTCTTGTGACATTTTATCTAATAATGTGACGTAAACAGTTTACATGTGATGTTTGGTTATTATTTGTGATATATGAATATTTCCTGTGATATATATTCATTAACTGTGATCTTTATACAGCTATGTGATGTAAAAGTTGCTGAGGATGTTCCCAAAAAGAAGAAGGGAAGGAAGAGGAGGGAGGGCGGCGATGATACTTTAAAAGTATTTGTTAGTGGGCTACGGGCAAAGAGCCAAAGAACAACAAAGAAGCCCAAGTTCTTAGAATCTCCCTTCCAAACTGAATTGCCAAAGAAGAGAAGGAAAGGGAAGAAAGGTGTCGTTGTGGTGGAAGACGACGACGACAAGGGGGAGAAGGATGAGGGGAAGCCACTTGCTATTTCACACCTCGGTAGGAGTACATCTGTTGCAGAGCTATGGAAAAGGGAAAAAAGTGAAGAGGAAAAAAAGAAGGGAAGGAAAGGGAAGAAAGGTGTCGTTGTGGTGGGAGACGACGACGACAAGGGGGAGAAGGATGAGGGGAAGCCACTTGCTGTTTCACACCTCGGTAGGAGTACATCTGTTGCAGAGCTATGGAAAAGGGAAAAAAGTGAAGAGGAAAAAAAATTATTAGAGACGTTGAATATGGGCATTCCTTCTTCACAAGACTTTGATGTCAGGCTACCGGGAACAATCAACGAAGGCTTTTACCATAATTTCACCGTTGAGGACATTCCTGATGTGTCGGCTGATGAGACCGTTGAGGACATTCCTGATGTGTTGGCTGATGAGAACAAGTGGCTTCAACATTTTCTTACATTGAAAGTTGACAAGTAAGTATTAAGTGTTATTCTGTGATATTTATATTTGGTCTGTGATATTAAATGTTATTCTTGTGACATATAGTGTTTTCCTGTGACATTCAGTGTTTGTATGTGACATTTAGTATTTGTTTGTGACATTTATTGTTTGTATGTGACATTCAGTGTTTGTATGTGACATTTAGTGTTTGTATGTGACATTTAGTGTTTTGTATGTGACATTCAGTGTTTTTATGTGACATTTAGTGTTTGTATGTGACATTTAGTGTTTTCATGTGACATAGTGTTTTCATGTGACATTTAGTGTTTGTTTGGGACCCTTAGTGTTTTCATGTGACATTTAGTGTTTGTATGTGACGTTCAGTACATGTATGTGATATTTAGTGTTTGTATGTGACATATAGTGTTTTCCTGTGACATTTAGTGTTTGTATGTGACATATAGTGTTTTCGTGTGACATTTATTATTTTCCTGTGACATTTTGTATTTTCCTGTGACAGTTTGGTGTTGATTAGAATATGTCGCTTATACATTGATTGTCTTCTACATTTTGTAGTCGGACAATTTTTGAGGTTGAAGACCACACTATATGCAGATATGATATGCTACATCTTCTACGTGGTGGAAGATTAAAGGATGAGGTTAGTTTTTGTTTAAGTTGCGGTGTTAATCAAGTTTTGCACAATTACAATAACTTATTACATTTGCAATCATCAGATCATTGAAGCTCTGGTTGCAAGTCTTCGAACATGGCTCAAGCTGCCAATAAATGCCCATGTCGAAAGAAAATACGCTATTGTCACGTCGTATTTTAGTGTGAGTAATGACGATCATAATACAATTTGAGTTATATTGCATTTATATGACTTTCTTCTGCTTGCTTTATTTTCTGCAATGTCTATAAAAATTACATAAAGAAGCATATAGATGAAGGGAAGGATGTGTTGATAATTCCAATATGTCACGCTGACCATTGGCATGTCCTTGAGGTCAACTTGGGGCAAAAAAAATGCAGACATTACAGCTCCGCTGACCACGAGGCATGGGCTAGAGACGTGTTGACCATCCAGCTTTTTTTAGATAGGATGGTGAGTGGTTTCGATCAGGCGTCGACATTCAGAGCATTCCAATATGAAGCAGTCCCTTGTCGAACGCAAAAAGGCTCGTAAGTTTCTTATACTTAACCATGAGATTGTTGCATGGCTTGTTGTATGGCTTAGTGACATTGTCGGTGCAAATATTGATGTGATATTTGCGGACTACAAGTGACTTTTGGGCATGTTATGTGACAGTTTAGTATGCAGTGTGACTTATGCTGCTATTATGTGACATTTTGATATTGTATGTGACATATTAGGTAACTGTGTTTTATTCTCGTTACCCGTTACATATCCTGCTATTAAGTGTTATGTTATATTTTTACAGATATGATTGTGGCATACATGCGTATTTTTTCATTAAGGCGATCCTCGAGGGAAGGGAGGTGATGGACATTGAAGTCTTGCACAGGGAGTCGCATATGCTACGGGCTGGACTTGCTGCTCAAATTATATGTGAAGGGCGTGAATGGAAAAAGCTACGGTTGAAATTAGACAGTGATGATCCAGAATATCTATTGTACTTCGGGGGTAGTGATGCACCTATGATTGAGTGGAAGTATTAGACTCTAGATGTAATTGTTTCATTTGTTGGATGTCCTGTGATGGATGTTGGTCGTTTAACTGCTGTTTGTAAATGATAACCAGTTTACTAACATAGATGGATATGACCTGGTGATCTTTTCTTTACCATATTAAAGATGAACATGATCTTGGTGCTGTGTGTGACTTTTGGGTCTGCTGTGTGACATTTTAGAATGCTGTGTGACTTCTGCTCTATTTATGTCACAGTTTGATATTCTGTGTGAGATTTTGGTGCTGTTATGTTGCTCGGTTATAGAGATTTTTTTGTCTTCTACATGCGTATTTTTCCATCAGGATGTTAATGTCACACAGAATGTTATGTCACATATAGGTAGTGCTGTTATGTTGCTCAGTTTGATATTTTTCCATCAGGATGTTGCTTGGTCCTCGAGGGACGGGATGTTATGTCACACAGAATATCAAAAAGGCAAAATTAGTAAATGTCGCAACAAAATAGCGCAATTATCTATAACATATTTAATCTAAACAGGTGCAACAAAATAGCGCAATTATCTATAACATATTTAATCTAAACAGGTAATACGTCACACGAACAGGTGATATGTCACATATAAGTAGTTAATGTTCACACGAACAGGTGATATGTCACATATAAGTAGTTAATGTTGCCCAAAATGTAATAAATTTCATTTACATCTAATACGTCACATATAAGTACAAAATGTCACAACAAAACGGCAAAAGTAACATGTAACAGAAAATAATCACAAAAGAGTCCGCAATTTGCCAGGAAACGTTAATCTTGGATAGGTTCAGTGCATGTGGCTAGGTTATGTCCTTCAGCGTGACATCTTGAGCATCTAATTGCACGTCTATTCTCAGATCTGTTGTTGATACGTCTATTCTTGTTCCTTCCACGTCTCTTTGTCGTCTTTGGGGGAAGAATGCTAACTGTTTCATCCGTTACATCTGGCTTATCATAATTTGGAACAGGAAAGAGAATTGGTTCGTAACTTTTCTTAAAAGCTTCAGTCGTCATGAACCAATCGCAAAACTGGTACACATCTCTATGCATAAAGTTGATAGCAGCACACGCATGTTTACATGGTATTCTCAATATATCCCATGCACGACACGTGCATGTTTTGTGATCCAAATCAACTTGTACTGATTTTTGTGATGATACCTCAAAGATTTCAGCTGTAGAATGCGATACTTCAAGAGTGCTTCCCTTGGTGACATTTTCTTGGAGGATTTTTTCCGCTTCTGGACATAGATAGCTATTCCAATTTGTTGCCATCACGCGGCGAGTATTCATTCTTTCCATAATTTGTACACGAATGTGATCCATCATATCACAAATGGGAAGTGTTCTCGCCACACGAATCCAACTGTTGAAAGATTCAGCAACGTTGGAAGTGATATGACCATATCTGTGAATCAAACAATAATTTCAAAAAATGAAAATTACAGCGTATCCGTCACATATAAATATCAAATGTCGCAGGAGAATGCTAACGATCACAGCGCAGGGCTAAGTGTCACAGTTAATGGCGTACTGCCACACGAGACATGTAAAGGTCACAAATGACTTTTAAAAGCTCAAATTCATATAAAAGCATAATGTCACAAGTAAAGGCAATGATATTTGACACAAATAACTTGTTAAATAATGAATATCTAAATATCACATGTAATACTCAAACGTCACAAATAAGTCCAAATATCACATGGAAGGTCCAAATATCACATATAAGGTCTAAAGGTCACATATAAGATCCATATGTCACATGGAATGTCCATATGTCACATATAAGGTATATATGTCACACAGAAGGTCTAAATGTCACGTACAAGGTCCAAATATCACATATAAGGTCTAAGTGTCACATGTTATGTCCAAACGTCACATATAAGGTCCAGATATCACATATAAGGTCTAAACGTCACATATAAGGACTAATTGTCACATATAAGGTCCAAATATCACATATAAGGTCTATATGTCACATATAATGTATAGATATCACATATTTGGTCTAAATATCACATATAAGGTCTAAATGTCGAATAGTATATTGGAAGACACTTCCTGGGTTTGTTTCCATCACCTTCATTTGGTACCTAAAAATGTTGGTTAAATCACAAATAACTTGTTAAATGATGAACAATATCTAAATATCACATGTAATACTCAAATGTCACACATAAGGTACACATAAG